AGGTGTAGTAGTACCTCTTCGGGCTCTTGTACACCTTTTTCTTGCTACGTGTGCGTGTTCTTTAGATCCTCAGATGGCTCCAGCACTTTCGTGACCACGGGCCGAGAGTCTTTGCTAGATTTTGGCATTTAGCAACTGGCATACGGTTTAATGTGAAGTCAACAACAACAACAACAACAACTGTCGTTTCCACGAAACTAGGCTTGAAATTTCTCAAACTTTGACATGTGGTCGGATATGAAGTACATTGCACGGCTAGCAGTTAGTTGTTTTGTTGCACTATTTTTATGTATGATACAAACCATATGTCGAAATTTCAGGTTCCAACCCGTAAAAATCGTGGTGAAACTGGCTTTCAACCATTTTGTAAGCTTCTTGGCTGGCCCAGCTTGTAATAGCATTCGGCCACTTGGGGACCTTGCAACCTCAACCTTACTTGCCTGTGAAGTTTGATCCGTTGTACGCACCGGTATGCACAACTTCAGAGTACGTAGAGTCCGTCCGGTTAAATTTTTCCACATGACCCCCACTCTTTCTCGCTTGTTTATGAGAGTTGACACGCGAAAAAAAGTTGAGTAGAACCACAAGGTCGAGAAGCATCGATGATATCCGGGGTCAATTTTTTTTGGTGAAAATGGCCGTTTGTGGGCGAAAATTACCCCGAAATTACCCCGAAACACCGCGTATTGTCCCGAAATGGCACGTATTACTCCGAGTACAGCCCCGCAGGCAGGGCCCTGCACCCTTAGCTCGGCAGCGCCGAGTAGAACAACATTTTTCGCTTGACAGATATATATTCTATCTACATTAAGTTGTGTCCTATATATTCTTTCTATCTAGAATACTATAAACCATGTCGGTTAAGACCACATGTAAAAATTTTATATCGAAGTATAAAGGAGCAGGATGCAAATGTAAGGTAGAATATCTATCTACCTATATGGTTACACAGATACAACATCGCGCCGGCTGGTGCTGCCGGTGAAGTGAGGTGGTGCGAGCTTTGCCGCTACGAAACGCTTCAACATCTTATCGGCAGCCTCGTTAGACTTTTTTCTGACCTCCTTGGCCGCGGCAAGGGCGGCCTGCTCTTTGGCCTTGCGCTCCTCCGCGGTTGTTGCTTGGCCACGAGCCAGCAACACGTTGTCGGCCGTGTCGGTGGGCGAGCGGTGGTTCGTCCACTTCTTGAGGTCTCGGGTTTGCAAGTAGCCCTCAAGCCCGTGGCTGTAGNGAATATATGTACAGCTCGGAAACACGGGCCCATTTTCGGCACAGTGACGAAGAGACAGTGCTCAGCGTCATGGGAAGCCTTGCAAGCAGACTCAGGACGGAGTAGTCGCAGACACGGCGCTCGATAGACTTGGTGTAGCCCCAGAAACGCTCGATAGCATTGAGCTCCGGGTGGTACCTGGAAACCCCGCAAGAGCAGAGACGGAAACTTAGAGCAAGAGTCTGTGTTGGCTGCTGCTGTGGTCCTCCTCGTCTCCTTCATAACATGTGTCGTGGTAGTCATGTGGCGGTGAAGTGTCCGCAGCGGGAGATGGTGACGCGGCCGCTTTCGCGCCGAACCGACCACCTGTTCTTGTTTGNCGGTGGTACCTGGAAACCCCGCAAGAGCAGAGACGGAAACTTAGAGCAAGAGTCTGTGTTGGCTGCTGCTGTGGTCCTCCTCGTCTCCTTCATAACATGTGTCGTGGTAGTCATGTGGCGGTGAAGTGTCCGCAGCGGGGGATGGTGACGCGGCCGCTTTCGCGCCGAACCGACCACCTGTTCTTGTTTGGCAGCTGCCACGCTTCTTGTTTCGTTTACCGGGGGGACGCCCAACCATGCATGGGCTTGGATGGGACCTCAGTGGGGTCTATGTGACTGCTGTAGCGTGTGGTGTGTGGTGTGTTGTGTGTTGTGTGGTGTGTGTGGCGGAACCAAACTTTGATGGGCCATAACTCTTTCAGAAAATTTTTGTTCGCAAAAAAAAAAGAAAGGTCCTGGGTGCAGGTCCAATTCGCCCGAATCCGTCGAGTTTTTCGAAATCTATCGGTTGGTTTCACCATTAAAAACATAACTCTGGGACCAGCTGGAATGAGTCTTTTTGCCCATTTCTCCGTTGTATCTCAGCGAATACAAACTTTAAGTTGAGTTGGGTCGCCGCGTAGCCCTCGGCGTGATACGCTCAAAACCGGTCTTGAAAAAAACAGTGGACATCACACACGCCCTACTCAAACATAACAAGATCTGGCAAAATCTCGACGGAATCGCGATTTTCTCGCCAACCAAAAAAAAAAAAAAAATCTGCTCCGATCAAACGATCCCCCTGAAATAGAACGATATAAGGTATGTCATTAGGGGGTACGTCAGTCGCTCGCAATATATTCCCGAGTGATTCTAGGCNGAAAAAAACAGTGGACATCACACACGCCCTACTCAAACATAACAAGATCTGGCAAAATCTCGACGGAATCGCGATTTTCTCGCCAACCAAAAAAAANCTTTAAGTTGAGTTGGGTCGCCGCGTAGCCCTCGGCGTGATACGCTCAAAACCGGTCTTGAAAAAAACAGTGGACATCACACACGCCCTACTCAAACATAACAAGATCTGGCAAAATCTCGACGGAATCGCGATTTTCTCGCCAACCAAAAAAAAAAAAAAAATCTGCTCCGATCAAACGATCCCCCTGAAATAGAACGATATAAGGTATGTCATTAGGGGGTACGTCAGTCGCTCGCAATATATTCCCGAGTGATTCTAGGCAATCGTGGAAAAATTTAACCGGATATACCTACTTACTACATAGATCTACAGCGTAGCTTTTTTAGTGGACAGAACGGGCCCGCAATTAAGGGAAAATTCTGTTATGAACAAAAGCTCAAATGTTTACGAAAAACAAGGAAAAACGGCTAAGAAACACAGCTAGCGCAATTTCGGCCACAAAAATAATACTCAACGCCTCAATAAGAAACATGATCGTGCGATACCCTCAAGACAAAACAAGGGGGTAGCTGGAGGAGCGTGTCCAATAAGAAATGTCCCACTGCTGCTGCTGCTACCATGCTCCCACCCCCTACCGATTGCTCATGTCATGTAATTGTTTGGTAGGGGGGACGACAGTGGTTATTTTCCCGGCGTCCCCCGCGCCCCAGCGCCGCCGTGGGCTGCGCTACCCACTGCTGCTGTACTGCTGTACTGCCACAACCCCCAACAACGTTGGCCACACCAAGTCGTCGGTTTAATGCCCATGAAGGCTTGGTGGGTTGGTGTTGTTTTCCTCGCCAGAAACAAGAAATTAGTAGATTCAGCAACATGCGACAGCCCCAAGGAGTAGGGAATCCGTTTAAGAAATTGGGCGACTTCGGTTGGCCTTTTCATTTTCTTTTCTTTCAAATATCACACAACAAATAAATCCATCTATCTCTATCGATAGAAATAAGTCTAAGTAAGATAGATTAGCAATGAATCCATAGCGTGAGCGAAAGGCTACCTGTATGTCTACGGTTTCCCAGACGGCATACAACGATATCTCCCCTGTGGATAACAGGCTCATCAAGGCAGTTTGGTAGCCATCTTGTTGTTGTTGTTGTTGTTGTTGTTGTTGTTGTTTCTCACAGTAGCCCTATAGTCCACAAAAAATGGGGAGCCCGTGGTCTCAAACCCCGGCACAGACGACGCCGCGGGGAAACAAAACAAAAATAGGGTACAAGCCACTCGGAAAGAGAAAACAAAATAATGATAGAAAGAAAAGAACAGGTATCGCACCGACCGTTCGAGAAAAGAGCCCTCGGAAACCGATCAAAAGAACACAAAAAAAATAACAGCACGGCTATTTGGGACAACACGTCTAACTCGGCGTAGAAAGCTCGGATCGACCTCAAACCAAGTTTGTTGTAATCCTACTGGACACAGCTTTCACGGAATGTATTTTGAGTCCACAACGGAGCCGGGGCCGAGGAGATAGAGCCTAAAAAAGGGGCTCNCAGGAGAGTCTCCACCACTTCAGCCTGGAGTAGCCGGATCTTGAGCTGGGGGTTGGCCCGTCGCCTGTCCTACATCGAAGCACACTGTTCCGGCGGTAGCACTTCCACGCTCGGCAGCTGCGGCTCGTGATCTCCCGGTCGGCCTTCCCGTCCGCGGAGATGGTACGTCCGAGGTACACAAACCGATCTGTCTGCTTGTACGTCTGGCCGGCGGCGCTGACCGTGGACGGGCGTTCCTCGATCCCTTTTGGCAGCATGCACATGATCTCCGTCTTTGGCTCCGATACCATCAGTCCGAACAGGCCGGCCACGCGCACGATGACCGACATCATCTTCTCGAGACTCTCCGGCGAGCGCGAGACGATGGCCGCGTCGTCAGCGTAGAGCATGGCCCACAGGGCCTCCGCGTCCGTCACCACCGTCGTCTTCTTCCCCGCCGACCTGCCCTTCTTGCCCGTGTACTCCACTTGTGTCCCGATCTTGACCATGTCCGCCGTCACCTTGGGGTCCTTGTCGAGCTCGGCCACGGCGGCCATGAGCATCGGGGCAAAGAACAAGTTGAACAGCAGCGGGGCCAGGTTGCATCCCTGTCGGAGGCCTTGGCCCACGTCAAACCATTCCGAGTACTGCCCGTCGTCCGTTCGGACGCGCGCCCTCATGCCCTCGTGGAAGTGGCGAATGACCGCCAGCATCTTCGGGGGCACGCCGAAGCGTCGGAGCACGTCCCACAGTAGGTCTCGGTCCACCGAATCGTATGCCTTGGTGAGGTCGACGAAGCACGCGAACACCGCAGTACTCTTCTTCCTCGCGAGCTCATGGAGCCGCTGGATGGCGAACAGCATGTCGAGCGTCGACCGGTGTGGGCGGAAACCGCTCTGCTCCTCCGGGAGGATGCCCTCTCGCTCGCAGTAGTGGCTCAGTCGTGTAGCGACGACCTTAAGCAGCACCTTGCCGGCGTGTGCGACGAGAGAGATGCCCCGGTAGTTGCCGCACTCCATCGTGTCCCCCTTCTTGAACAGCACGTTGAGGGTGGCATCCTTTCACTGCTGTGGTACGGCCCCAGCCTGCCACACGTCTACGACAATGGTGTGGAATTCGCGGAGGAGACCTTGATCTCCGTCCAGGAAAAGCTTGATCAGCTCAGCCGGTAGGTCGTCCGGCCCGACGGCCTTTCTGTTGGCTATTTCCCGTACCGCTTCCTCAACCTCAAGTAGAGATGGGATGTCGTCGAGTGGCACGCACGTGGGCCACCGCTTGACCTTGTCAGCCGCATGCAGGTCGATGGTCGGCGACTTGGTGTTGAGAAGCTTGTGGAACCACCGTGCCCATCGTTGGCGAATAAACGTGGGGTACCGAAGGATATTACCGTCCTCGTCCTTGATGTTCTGAGAGGTGAACGACCTCTTACCTTCGACGTCGATCATCTTCAGGTGCCTGTAGAAACCCGCCTGATCCCCCTCGCGGCTCTTCTTCTCGAGCTGCCGTACATAGCCCTCGAAGAACGTTTCCAGTGCTCTCCACCTCGCGATGCTGCGCTTCTTCCGCGCCGCCTTGAGCATCGCCTTCAGGGTCGCCTCGAAGGCGTTGTTCTTTGAGACCCCACGCAGTTGCAGCTGGGCCGCCTTAATCTCCTAAGACGCTTCGGAGATCTCGTGTTGCGCTTCGCTCGTGTACCAGCCTCTCTGCCCTCGTGCGCACCTCGCCAGCGGCGCGGTCTCAGCAGCGGCCGACATCACCGTAGCCGTCAGCTCGGCGGCGGTCTCTCCCGTTGGCCGCCTGAGCGCCGTGGGCGGAGGGCGGCTGGCTGCCCTGTTTTGGAAGGCGACCCGTAGGTGTTTGTCCTTCCTCAACCGCTCGAGGTCGATACGGATCCGGCTGCTTCCGCTGTTCCCCCGCACTCGTCGGTTGGGTGCGACACGGGGGGGGAGGCGGACAGTCGTAAGCACGAGGTTGTGGTCAGAGTCTTTAAAGTCGACACGTTTCACGGAGACATTGCGCACGAAACGCCGGTCCNGCCGTGGGCGGAGGGCGGCTGGAGGCCCTATTTTGGAAGGCGACCCGTATGTGTTTGTCCTTCCTCAACCGCTTGAGGTCGATACGGATCCGGCTGCTTCCGCTGTTCCCCCGCACTCGTCGGTTGGGTGCGACACGGGGGGGGAGGCGGACAGTCGTAAGCACGAGGTTGTGGTCGGAGTCTTTGAAGTCGACACGTTTGACGGAGACATTGCGCACGAAACGCCGGTCCGCCTGACGCATGAGGATGAAGTCGAGGCGGTACTTCTCCTTCCCCTTGTTGGAGCTCTGGAATGTGTGCTGCACACCACCTTTCGATGTCCGGAAGTAGGTGTTGGTAAGGGAGAGTTGGTTGTCTGATGCCAGTCCAAGGAGTCCTTCCCCATTGTTGTTCATAATGTCGCGTCCGTACGCGCCAATAATCTTGGCATCGCAGCACCCGTCTCGCCTCCTACCAGTGCGTGCGTTGGCGTCCATTAGCACCACGAGATGGTCACGGCTGTGAACCTCCCGGATCGCTGCGTCGAGAGCAGTCCAGAAGGGGTCCTTGGCGTTAACATCACCGCCCGCGGTGGTGCGGACCGTTTCCGTAGGGGCGTACCCCACCACGAAAGTTACTCCGCAGATGCGGTCAATTTGTAGATACACCTTCATCAGCCTCGGGCTAATGCACTCCACCGTCCTACCTTCCTCGCCCACACTCTCCCACATGGCCTCCTTGATCGCTATGCCCACACCGTGTACGCCCCTCTTGTCCTTGGTGCCAGCACGGGCGCCACTCCAGATGATCACGTACCTGTTGTGTGTGCAATTGAACTTTGATTCTATCGTCGGGTCTCCTGAAGTCCAATCACATCACAGCCGGTCGCCGAACAAATCTGCATAACCGTGATCACGTTGTGACCGATGGGGTTCCTACCGCTGTAGGCGAGCGTGCGTACGTTGAACGTGCCGAACGATAGGTCGCCCTCTCGTGCCTTCTTCTTCGCAGCCGCCTTGACGGCCGCTGCGGTCTCGTGTCTCTCTCGGTCCACCTCGCGTTGCGGGTGTGCTTTCTTCCGTATTTTCCGAGCGGCGAATTCCCTCGCATCAATCCATCTCTCTGCAGAGCTCGGCTCTTGCCTGTGGTGTTTTTACGAGGAGGGTGCAGCACTCCCTCCCCGCGGTGCCCGCGGTCGTCTCCCTTCTCCCGCGAGCGGTGCTTACTGACGTGGTGTTTACGAATCTCTCTACTCCTCCAGCTTCGTGGGCCACGCTTTCCGCGACGGTGGTTGCCAGGTGC